GCATCGATAAACGAGGCAGTTATTCGTCCAAACCAAGGGTCGACTTAGCCCATCAATTTTTAAAATTCAGTGACGATTCATTTTATGCATGGAATTTGTGAAAAGCAGGGAATGAATGTCTCTTTCTGGAAGTTCTCGGATTAAGCTTAATATTTAATAATGGATTTGAATTTCTCGATTCTGTAATGCTCAAAACCGTTGTTGAACAGATTATGCAATTTCATTCCAATTGGGAAATCACTCAGGGTGCTAAAAGTTCTGATAATTGAATAATTCAACACTTTACACGCATCTTAGGTTAGAATCCTGAGTACTAGAATTTCATTGCTAGTAACTTTGATACTAACTGTTAACTAGTCGTTGGCAAAGTTCCTGTAAGTGACTGCGAGAAAAATGGGATCTATCTCATGATCACTGAATCTCTGCACATCGCAACGAATCACTCCCTACACGGGTCAGTTTGCTATATCGATGGCATGAGAGCTAGTTAGAGGTCTCATTGAACCTGCGTGCTCGTTTTTGTAGTACGGTATATTACTTTATTCCTGTTAGTTCGTTGTTTGTCCTTGAGTAAGATCGTTGCTCACTGTTGAAACGTCAGAGGTAGCAAAATCTTTGCTGCGTTCCATCAGACAATCATTGCTTCAAAACAACAGCACTGGAAGCGTCATTTATGTATTTAGCAGTTCATATTGCGAATGTCGACGAAGGGACCATGCTAGGTATTCCTTTACCTCGAACAGATTATGGAAATATCAACGGATATTCTGTGTAAGACTGACTTACTGTCTTTGTGGTAGAATGCAAAAATCAAACGGCAAATGAGTGGTTTTAGTCCAATAAACTGTGGTTTCATAAACCTTTATGAGGACTTTACAGGTTTGGTACAAACTACAATAATGTTAAGCAAATCCTGCTCTTAGCACATTTTTGGCAACCGAGGGACAACTGCGAGGTCCTTTATTGCGCTTCAGGTCTTGTAATGAATAAACGAGTGCTCAGGAATTTAGGGATAATTGACCGGTTTCTGCCCATCTTTAATGTCCCAAGGTGTTATATTATAACCAACATTATTTTGTCTTATGCTTGGACACGAATCATTTTATTATGCTAATGCATAATTTATATATTTGTTTGCGAGTTGCACTTTGTGTTACGGTGTTGATGAAAGCGAAACGCTGGCATTACACAACATTACCATAAGTCTTTGCAGCACTGGCACGGCCAAACTTCATCGCCACTATGAATCTAGTTAAGCAGGTCAACGAGTGTGACCTATTTTTCAACTGGTTGTGCTACAACGATATTAGGCGAATTCTTTCTTTATAAAAACTCACGAAGTGCATAGCTCAAGTCCTCATGGTAAATGTAGAGTTGAACGATTATCTGCTGTCCGCCAATAAAAAATGTATTAAACAGAGCGCACGGATCTGTTTACGTAGGAAGTGTTACCGTGATCATATTCCGTAGTTCTTCAAAGTATATTGCTATGCTTAGCAACTGCTGTCATGAAATGAAATAAAATTATCTGACACCTTACGTTAATAGTTTTGCAACGGAGGTACTACGCAAACGAACTCTGTCAGGAGTCAAAGTCCAACGTCGAATAATAATGCTTGAATGGTAAGCGAAGTGTATTAGTTTTAAGACTTGGGAGGATTATATGGAACTGTGATAGAAAGCCAAACTTTAATTCAAAGGTACAGCGCAAAGGTAGTTTAGTTGGATAGCAAGAACATGCAGTTGAACATCCAGGAACGGAGATCTGTCACAAACAGACTGATCAGACTGACACACCAGATATAGGTCACAGAATCATGCGGACGGTGACCGAGAGATGGACGGCACGATAGGCCACTCCTGTTTATTGAACATTTGCAATTCTTCAGTTCTTGAATCTAGTTCGTGAAGCTTCCTTGATTGGTGTATAAGACAACGGCTAGAAAAAGGTTCTTGAAATTGTTGCGTCCTCAGCTCGAAGGGAAATCAAAGTTCTGTCACATGATGAAGGAGATGACGAATGAATAGATGGAAAGGATAGTGAATAAATATACAGATATGTGCATGGAATGACAGAAAAGTAGACGGATGCATTGATAAGTGGAGAAAGGATGGACGGGTTCATGACTAATGCACTGATATGGGCCGTCAGATTAAGAGAGAAGAATTAATCAAATCATCCAGTCATTGCCAATGAATGTAAAGACGAACTCCAAGGCATCGCCTGTAATCGCCTTCATCTTAAATCATCAGTAGTGTTTCCATGTTTGTGAGGACTGGATGTTTTGTTTATGCGTAAAGCTTTTCAGACATGTTTTTTGCTAGATACTGTACCATTGCGAGGAAAGTTGCTTTTTTCGTACCGAATACCGTTTCTGCATCGAGTAACCCTGCCCATCAGGAATCCACCGATCCGTGTTACCCAAAAGCTGTTGTTTGCGTTAACCTGGAAGGATTGCACTCTTCTAATTTTCCCCAGTAAATGTAAAGTTTAAACTTCATAAAACTGTTGAATTTTATTCAGTTACACAAAGACGGAACAACTTGCATGAATCCGTTTTCAGTGTTAGAAGTTTTGCTTCCAAAGACAGCAGAGACGACCCTAGAGCGACTGCCATGCAGAGTCCCGGAAAAAATTAGTTTCTTGTTTATCTTTTTATCACTCGTATACAAGGCAGCTCCAGGATAACGGCTTTGCCTTAAATTCTAGACCTGCGATGTCCTTGTTATCGTAAAAATTATATGCAAGCTGGAAGTCAAGTTTTTCTGACTAAATTTCCAGGTTAGCTGATCTGATTTTTGAAGGTTCTACAGTTTTATGATTAAAATGTGTCAAAACGTTTCGAAACTTCTCTCTGTTC